ATAGTATAATATAGTATAGTATAGTAGTATATAGTATAGTATAGTTGTATAATAGTAGTATAGTAGTAGTAGTATAGTATATTATAGTAGTAGTAGTATAGTAGTTTAGTATATTATAGTAGTAGTAGTATAGTAGTATATAACATAGTATAGTTGTATAATAGTATAGTAGTATAGTATATAGTAGTAGTGTAGTAGTTGTAGTATAGTAGTAGTATATAGTATAGTACTTTATAGTAGTATAGTGTATAGTAGTAGTATATTAGTAGTAGCAGAATAGTAGTAGTGTTCACGAACAACATCACTTGAAGCTCGTGAACAAGCTCGACATTAAGCTCGATAAAAGCTCGATTCATGTTCTATTCAGAGCTCGTGAATAAACTCGATAAAAATTCGATTAATATTTAATTATAAATTTAATAAATATACACAATATAAATATTTTAAATTAATTATAACATAATGAATTTGTTCATAAAAAGGAGACATTTTACATTTAACATTTATCCATGTTTGCTAGATTATTTATTTAAGATATTTATTAACAAATGTAAGATTTGTTTGTTCAATAGATTGTTTGTTAAATATGTTAACGAACATAGCTCGTTAATGTTTGTTTGTTTAAAGCTAGATAAGTACTAAACGAACCTAGTATGAACTGAACATAAATCAAACATAAACACTGATAAATTAAACGAATCAAACATGAACACAAACAATAAAGCTCGAATCAAACGCGAACCGAACTTGAACAAGATAATAATAAACAAACTCAAACATGAACACTCACATACTAGGCTCGGCTCGCTTCGGTTCGTTTGCAGCCCTACCTAAGTGAACGGGCGTGCTTGCGGTTCAAGCGGATGGCTGTTGTCTATTTCTTAGCTCGCACACACGCCAGATGAAAAAGGGTGTTTTTTTGAACCAGAGCTCTCCAGTCATGGCGCTACTCCGTTCGCCTCCGCTCCAGTTCCGCTTCCTTACTCAGCGCCTCTTCCAATCGTCAGCCGCGCGCTCCCGTCTCCAGTCGGTGGCCTTCTTCCGTCGTTCCTGCATTTTCTGGCGTAATCATCGTATGGGTTTGGTAGGAATCCGACCAAGGCATGGAGCGGGAGTGAGGGCTTTTATGTCTTCAAGCGTCACCTCTGAAGCTCTACAAGGGAAGCCGGGTTCTCAAAACTATGGTTCTGACCAGATTCAGGTGATTCTTATGCTTCTACTTAGCATTCAAGGGCTTATTCACTTGTATAGTCTTACCAGATAATCGGTTTTTTTATGAGCCATAATAAAATTTTGGCGGGTTTAGGGCTTCGATGTCGCGCATTGGTTTCTTCTGATCGTTGGGAGGGTTTAGGATCGCAGGAAGAGTCCTTAGATTGTAGAGATAGTTATCTTAAATGTCCACATTTGGTCAGTGTATTGGCTTCTTACAGGGAAAATGGGATAAATACTTGATGCTTGAAGTTTAGTTTGTGTTTGTTGAGAGGCCTACAATGGAAACTCTGTTACTGATGTATGGCATTTAAAGTTAGAATTTTCACACTGATTTCCGGATTTTAAATTTAAAATAATTGGATAGTTTATTCCATTTGAACTGAAGCTAGGAAATTTATTCCATGTTTATTCATTTACTCTTTTGGTCGGCAATCAATTTAGTGATATCAATAAAAATTAATTGTTTCCTGATTGTGATGTTTCGTATTTCGTGGTGTGGTTCTGTCTGCTTAGGTATTAGAAGGACTTGATCCTGTGCGCAAGAGACCTGGAATGTACATTGGAAGCACTGGGCCCAGAGGACTGCATCATCTGGTAACCATCAAATCCTACTTACCCACTTAAACCATCATTAAATTTAAATTTGCTTTTCTTACTGTTTTCTCTTTCATTTTACCTGTTTTTGTGCTATCCTTGTACCTAGGTTTATGAAATACTAGATAATGCTGTCGATGAAGCTCAAGCAGGATATGCTTCAAAAGTCGATGTAGTTTTGCATGAAGATAACTCTGTGAGCATCACAGATAATGGAAGAGGGGTATGGGCATCATGATTCCTGTTCCCTATGCATACATGAAGTGACTTTAGTCCTATCTTGCTCCTATGTTTTGATATGCTCAATATTATTTAGGAAGATTTGTTTACACTTCATTAAAGAGTTAGAATTTTTTTGGAATTGATATTCAATTTTAATGTGTTGATTTTCATTAGCTTAGAGTCTTCCTTCTAACAAACTGGTTCATTGACAAATATAGCTGCGTTATGGCTAGCTTTTTTAAAGTCTTATTTTCAACTTTTTGCATTAGCCTGTTAAGGTGGATTCTTCATGGTTAAACTCAATTTTTAATATTGATTAAGAGCAAAATTAATTGCACACGTTTTGTTTTGTTGGTTACTGATATATTAATATGTTATGCAGATTCCAGTAGATTTACATCCCGTGACAAAGAAGTCCTCATTGGAGACAGTTTTAACGGTACTTTTCTCACCTCATATCAGTAATCTGTTATTCAATGTATATTGCTAGCCTTTTCTTGGAATCATAATTCTTGTTTTTTAATTATGAGTGAGTTTTGCTCTTGTTCTAGTTTATCTATGTGCTCTTTCATTGTGTCCTCAAAGCGCAGTGATGGAGATCTTCAAGTTTACACTCTTTTGAAAAAATAGAGCAAATAATAGAGTTGAACATTATTTTAATTTAGCTTGATGTTGTAGTGTTTTTAGTTGTTTTAATAAAGTCTTCTTATTTAAACATGCCTATGTAATATGCATATGAGAATGGGGTATGTTGTTTTTATTTATAATGTTCCTAGTTTCGTCACCTCTCTTTTGGCGCGGTTTAATTGAATGTTTTCATCATTTCAATTGCTGGATTTATTGGCAGATTTGGAATTATCTGTTTTGTTGTTGTCTATGCATTGATCATATACCTGGTTTCAGTTTAAACGAGTTCTGGATCATGTAGCCCTGTGCAACTTCTATAACAAGCGCTCCTCAACTCTCTTCCCTAGGACTATTAGCTCTCAGGACATTGCTTGGTCGGATGGTTGCAGGATCAGATATAGAAGGGAATTAATGAAAACTTAAGCGCTTAAGTGATGTAAACTAGAAAATAGCACAAACTAAAAAAGAAACTTACAACAAGATAACAATACTTTTAGTTTAGAGATGAAAGAGACAATTGGAAGGGATAACCGTGGAGAGAAGAAAGAGATTGGAGAACGAGACGAATTATAAGAAGAAGAGAAGAAGAAGACAATAGCTCGCAAGCTATTACAAAACCCTCAGGTTTTCTTTCAAAAAATCAGTCTATATCTCCTGCATATCCAATAGAAAAACAGACCCTATAAATAGGAAAAAGAAACCAATAGTCATCTAAAGCAACCACCCAAATCAGCCAACCAAAACAGAGAGAATAAACACAGGAAAAAAGGCAAGGCCAGCCCAAGAACCGAACGGACAAGCACCCCAATAGCCAGCCATAATCATAACAACTAGGAGCCCAACAAACACCAAGGAAAGAGCACAGCATGCTCAGGAACCGAGTAGCCAGGTGCTAAAAAAGCCAGCCCCCAATCAGCCATAACACCCCAAACACCAAACAATCAAAGAAACATGGGCCAAGTCCATTTAGCTAATTTCAGCTTGCTAACAAATGTCCATTAATCTAAATTTTGATTGCATCATTAAGGCTGTATGTATAAGCAAGATATCCATACTTATGGTATATTTTTTACGAAATCCACAACAATTATTTACTATTTCCACCAGCTTTTGCATGCCTGCCTAAGTGGAAAAAAGAAATGGAATGAACAGTGCATTAGTTTAGTGCATAATAACATTAAACTGAATAACTTTAGGTTATAATTATATGCTGCCATTTTGAGATTCTCTATGGGTATAGTTTGTTATTTAATCTTTGCTAGTCTACCGTAATTGCTTAAGAATAAAAACATATAAGGCAATCATTGCTTTCTCCTAATCAAAACTTGCACAACAATCCTAAATTTCCATTTAACATCGAGAGAAGTGCCTCTAAAAAGTTCATATCTTTAGGTTGAAATTATCCCCTTAGCATCTCTGTGTAAAGACAAGATGTTATAGTTGAGCAAAATTTATTTGCATGCGCCACAATTCATCAAATTGGTGGGCATTTTGGTGGATGCAATGATTATACTTGCTAGCAAAACTTCAAGTAAATGTTCATTCAAACAATTTAGTAAATTATTGATAGATTTTGAAATAATACTGAAGATGCTTGCCCTTATAAAAAAATTGCTAAAATATGGTTTTGGTAGAAGAATAAACGTGAAACTTGAAGCATATGATAGAGTAATTGTGATATCAGTGATCAGTGGTCATTGGTAATGGATTTATCAATTTAGAAATGATGCAGAACAATCATGGATGGAATTCTTCTTATGTTTCCCAAGTGCTACGATTTTTTCGATTTCCAAAGAAGGCAGAAAGTTATTTTTAATTTCATTTCTTATTGTTCTCAATAACAGGCTTGCATAGAACTGTTCAACTAATTTAGAACAGTTAAGAGTTTCTGCGTGCTTTGTAGTTAGTACGTTCTGTGGATAAATGAAGCTGTGGCTTGTGATTCTATTTTATAGCATGCAACAATAAAAGTTAGTTGTTCTATTGTTTGCTAGAGTTTCTTGATGGATCTTGGGTAATTTTGGAGTTGGCCATTATTTCCTGAAGGTGTAACACTCCTAATTTTTTTATTTCATGCAGGTATTACATGCAGGAGGGAAGTTTGGTGGTTTAAATAGTGGTTATTATGTCTCAGGGGGACTTCATGGTGTAGGCTTGTCTGTTGTTAATGCGCTATCAGAGGTTTGTGCTATATAGTATATGCGATTATTTTTGTTATTGCATTCAAGTATGTTTTTTCTCCACATTTCTTTACTCATTTTCATTTTTCTTTTTAACTTCGATAGTTATCTTGGTATTTTTCCCTTCATTCATGATGCCTTCATTAGAAATACTGTTATTATGTGAAGAAGTGGCCAAATGGTCATTAATTGTATGTTGTGTGCTAAAACGGTAAAATCAAAACCATGCATTATCATTTGAAGTTCACTTATTGATGCTTTTAAGGGCATTATTTTTTCTTTCAATGTAGCAGAGATTGCTTATTTCTATCTTTGTGCTTTCTCTTGTGTGACACTGTTTAGGCATTAGAAGTTACAGTCTGGCGTGATGGCAAGGAATACTTCCAAAATTTTTCTCGTGGAAAGCCTTCAACCGCTTTAACCTGTCAGGTGCCACCAGTAGAATTATGCTCTCGCCAAGGGACTCGGATCAAGTTTTGGCCAGATAGAGAGGGTTGTTTTCTTATTTTTTTTTCTAAATACAATATTTTCATGAACTTATTTGTATTGATTAATATTAGCCTATTTTTCCTTTTAAAAATCTCTTTTCCAATGCAGTTTTTACTACAACCATTCAGTTTGATTTCAACACAATTTCTGGGCGCATCAGGGAGCTTGCTTTCTTGAACCCTGAGGTATCATTGCATGCCCCATTTCCATAGTTTTTTTTTTTTGGTACACTCATCTATGATTATCTGATTTCTTTATATTTCTTGAATTTACAAATTCTTGTTTGGTAAAAAGATATTTTAATTATCATACTTAAAAGTTCGTTGTTTTTGGTAGCTGGATATGCCAAACTTACTTTTCTTGGGAGAAAAAGGGCAAAATGATCTTTTGACTATTATATGGGGCCATTTTGATTGTAGGCTATAAATTTGTTCAATTTAATCTCTCTTTGTTGGATTATTTTGCATCAGATTTGAAGATTCAAGTTACTATTTAGATCATATTTGAGAGGTGTCGGTAGCTCGTCTCGATCGCTCCCCTCATATTTTATACTTGCAAAAGGCACCGCTCACCTACTCATTTCGTGCTTGCTGGCTAATCTCCTCTTACTCTTGTCGGTTGCTTTGCATGTGCATCCATGTTATCTGCTACCCCTCTACCTTCGGCAATACTGTTTGCTGTGTGCCTAAGTATTTTATTCTATAGCTAAACTCTAAATTGTGATATCTGAAATTCATTTTACAATCAGCCAAATAACTATGAGTATTTTAAATATAACTTATTTCCTTCAGTGTGTTTAAAATGCACCTAAATTCTAAATACTTGTAACCATATAACTCCTTAATTCGTATGGCTTGTTGCTGGTGGTTTCTTGATCTTGATAGGAGATTATATTTTAATCTAAAGTTTTTTGTCTTTTGAGATAATTTTCCAAGTACAATGGACCTCCATTGATATTAGTTCTTACTGTTAGATTGTAATACCATAGTAGCGTGCATTCCTGGTGGGAGTTGCCGCTTTAACCTCCAATACCTTTTAGCTATCGGCATGAAAATTTTTGCGTGGCTCAAATTATTCATTGATTTTTTCCAATGTATTTCTTACATGGGAACATAATTGTACTAAAATTTGTGTTTTGTCCTATTAACAGCTCACAATTACCCTAAAGAAAGAAGCAGCAGAAGATTCAAATGTACAATATAATGAGTATTGCTATGCTGGTGGCTTACTTGAATATGTGAAATGGTTAAATATGGATAAGGTATGTACCCCTTTACATGATCTAGTTTTGTGGTATTTGATTCTGGTTTTGTGTTTTATAGTGAGATGTTTAATACTTATGATAAATGTACTTTTAGTGGTTAAATTATTAATTCATTTCCTAAGTTTTGTTTTTAAACATTTTTTGAGGAATTATGTAACATCATATTGATTATTTAGAATCTTTCTGTCTTGATTGATTCTCATATAGGATTGTGTTGATTTATAAACTATTTTTGGGATCTTTGAAATCCTTATTAACATTCTTTCTCAACCTCCAACCCCACCTCTCTCTCTCTCTCTCTCTCTCTCTCTCTCTCTCTCTCTCTCTCCACACACACACACACACACACACACACACATATATATGATGTAGGCAAACTAGAAAGAAAAGTCAAGTAGGAGAACACTAGTACAAATTAAAACCAAATTCCATTCAAACTAGTTTGCAAACATCCCAAAACAAACATCAAAGCAAACAAAAAGTCGAAACAAGCGAAACAAAATTAGAACATAAAACTACTATCCTCAGAACAACCGGCAAGCGGTTTCCTCACATGCAACGAGAAGTAGGAATTATATGATAAAGTGCTTAGGCTTGCAAAACGAGGGTCCACCATTGCAAAAGGGTCCAACATCCAACCAAACTCCTCTGGCAAATGTCTCCCAAAATCAGCCGACAAACAACTTTCAAAAGCTCAAGAAGAAGGATACAAGTGGAGTGGAACTTGCGTAGAGAAGAAGAGGTTAGAAGCCAAGACGAAATAGAGAGGAGGAAGAGGTGGAACAAGCTCTCAAGCTTTTCCAAGATAAGAAACCCTAAGATTTTTAGCAACTTATCTCAAGTGAATCAACAACCTCCTCAACACAAAAATATCTCATATTTATAGGAGAGAAAGGAGAGCCAAACAGCCAACTTCTACCTCCAACCAAATCAATTAGGTAAGGGGAAGAGGAAGGGCAAAAGTTATCACAAAACAGCTCCCAAAAAACAGCACAGGAAACGGAATGGAGAAGCTACGGGAACACAACCAGGAAGCTACGGGAACACAGCCTGGGAGGGACCCGAAGAGCCATCACAGAAACCGGGCTGAAGGGGGTCACGAGAAAGCAGCCAGGGAGAAAACCGAAAATGTAGCTAGCACATAGCCATAATCACAAAGAAGAAACCAAGGAGACACAAGAAGGGGAATAAACAAGCTCCACTTCACATACCTTTTTCAAATTTATGAGCTAGTAAGTGCAATTACTCCTCCAAATAATGAGCTAAACTTCAGCTCAAGCATTAATGAGCTAGCACTAAGAAGATCTCAACATTTTAGCTCACAACCAGAGGAACCAAAACCCAACCCGAGAACAGCCAAGACCCAAATCGAGAAATAGCAAGCAGCCCAAGGACCCAAAATGCTAGCAAACCCAAGCCTTGCCATGCCCAAGCACATCCTATCATGATCATTGGATGTTCTCCATCATTGGATAGCATTAAAAAAAAAAACACAAAATACAACTAAACATTGTTCAAATTACATCAAAACAAAACAAACTAAAAAACATGAATGCATCAATTCCCCCTGGTGGGAGAATCTCATCTCCTGATGAGAAAGCTAGAGGGAGGAGAGACGATATCTTTTGTTTGCTTATTAAGTAATGCAGCCATTTTAGTATCTCCTCTGAAATGTTGTGAGGAAAAAGTGCTTGTGTTTATTTAGTTGGTGGGTTTGTTATTTATAATCGGAGAAAACATACAATGGATTGTCGAACCGTCAATTAAATATGGTCAACTAGCCATAATAAGAATACTTGCATATGATAATGATAATGGAAATGTTAACAGATTGGATGATAAAGCATTACTGGAGAAACATATAAGAACTCTCCAAATATGAATGAACGATGATACAACACATTTATTCAAATGACAACTTTTCCATACAATATTGCAACTCTTGGAAAATATAACACACTACTTACATCAGATATCATTAACACTGGTATGCAGGAAACAGTGATCTTAAATAAGTCCTAAATTTATTTGAGTAACTTTTATGTTTTCATTGAAAGCAAGGTTTTTTTTATTATTGCCTGTCATTTATTCAAAGGGTTCATATAACCAGGCTAAAATAGTTGGGTTGAGGCTAATTGTGATCATGGTGATGAATGCATTGAGAAGCGGCATGACTAATTACCTTTTTTGCTCTCCAGAAACCTCTTCATGATACTCTGGCATTTAGAAAAGAATCAGATGGAATCACAGTTGATGTAGCTCTCCAGTGGTAATGTACATGTTCTCTAGCACATCCTCACTGTTAAAATGCACCTCTTTCCATAAGTTCCGACAGTCATAATTACTGCACAATTTATATAATATTCCTATTTGCTTTTTCCTTGGTTTGAAACATTAATGCTTTCAATAATCAGTGCTATATTGATTCATATTTTATCATAAATAGGTGTGCTGATTCATATGCAGACACAATGCTAGGGTATGCAAATAGCATACGCACGGTTGATGGGGGTACTCATATAGATGGGATGAAGGCTGCATTAACAAGAACCATCAACAACCTGGGCAAGAAATCCAAACTTATCAAGGTGTTTTAAAGACGCTGTATCATAGACTGATCCTTTTTTGGCATAAGTTACAAATATTGATTTTACGAGTTTAACTTATATGCTGTTGATCGATTGCAAATTATTAAATCTTCTTGAAATAACTAATTTGCTAAAAATAAGATTACATACTTCAAGAAGATTTGACCACCATATTTTGCTGAATTATATTAGCGTTTGGAATCTTCCAATTTTAGAGAATTTCTGCATCTTCTCTGCGACGCTCATGTGCTGGACATCTTGCAGTCAATTTTATAAGCAGTGATATATTTACTATAAGCAATCTGAAAGTAATGTTGAGTTCTTTGGTCATAGTATTAATCTCAGAGTTATTCATTCATGAGTCTGCCTCTATGTTTTATCACCTGCAATTCTATAAGATTAACTATATGGCTGCTTTAAAATTCTTATCGACTATCTAGATCATTTTGGTTTCTCCATTAATTGGTCGGCTAGTGCTCCCGGAAGATCAAGACGGGGCGGAGGAGGATCCGAGGGTGGTTGGCTAGTGCTCCCGAGAGTCGACCGTGTAGCCGAGTGGTGTGGGGCCGATCCGCTGGAGGATCTATAGGGAGGCCTAGCATCTTGATGTCGGCTAAGATGCTGTGACTGGGTCTCCTCAATGTCTAGAAATGGGATGTATGCACCCTCTAGTGCAGTGATGCTCCGGGCAAATAACTTGTTGTGGAGATCCTCACGCAACCCGGTACGAAACATGGATAAGATCTGGGCGGGGCTAGTCGAGGTCTCACCCTTGCAACGAATCATATAATCGCCAAAAGTTGTAATGTAGTCCTTCACAGGCTTACTACCCTGGGTCAGCCTATTCCACCTATCAAGAAGCCTAGGGAAGTATGAGGGAGGAAGATACTTTTGCTTGAGCTCACGCTTCATAGAAGTCCAGTCAGTAATAGCGAACTCTTTACGGGACTCCCTAAGGCTCTCTAAGTTGGCCCAATACTGGCTAGCCCTACTCGTGAGCTTCATTTCGGCGAATCTCACCTTTCTAGTCTCAGATATATTGTACCATTTGAAGAAATTATCCATGCCATTGACCCAGTCCAGAAAGAGCTGGGGATCGAGTGTCTTCAAAAGTGGGAGCATCGACCTTAATGTTTTTCAATAGTGGTGCATCAGGGTCGTGATTATAGTCTTTGATATAATAAGGGGCACGAGGGTGTCCCTCATCCGATGCGGTGTCATCCCTATACATGGAAGGAGGCCTACACGGTGTGTAAGGTAACTAGTGATTCTTAGCTCGATCTAGGATGTCAAATCGTTCCGTAGTTTGGCGATGGAGCTCAACAATATCAGCTTGATTCTCCTTAAGTTGTTGACTGATTGTGCTCATCTGACCTACAAATAGGTCTAAAGTCCTGTGAATTTGTTCGGGGTCTATTCTATGTTTCAAGGATGACTCAGGGCTATGCAAATAGGAAGAAACAATAAGATGACACTAGCAAGTGAGGTGACACGTGTAGGATGCGATTTAGATGCGAACATATGAAATAATGAAATCATAATAGGCACATAAATACAACCATGCTCTGATACCAAAATGATGCAGAACTAGATGTGTAAGTAATGTTGAGTTGGAAAATACGCATGCGTGAATAGAGATTGACAATTAATTAACTCACAATGAACCTAAATAAGGATTTTAGCTTGCAAGGGGGCGATCAAGTTTAAACAAGTAATCACATGATAATAGGAGGACCATTATATAATCAAATAAATTAATATCATGCTCACGTGATGTTTCGGAGACAATTCCTAAATTAACAAATAGATTAGTCACTACAAATACCAACTCACACGAGCTCTTGGTATGGGCTATGCGGATGAGTTTTCACAATAAAATGATGTCATGATTGAGGAAGGATCAAAAGGTATAAGGGGAGGGAAAGAGTTTACCCACATAGACGAAGATACTAAGTTGCGGCGAAGTTGTTTGGCTGTCTCAATGGGAAGGATAGCAATATAATTCCTTTCACAAGTTTGGACAGTGTTCTACCATCACGTGGAAATCTGGAGAGGAGCTTATGATGATTTGGGAAGGAGATAGCAAGCGCTTGATAGTAGGAAAATAGACACAATCATCATTGGATGACAACCAAAACAAGAGGACATCAATTAGCAGAAATATGGACCTAAGATTTATGTCCAAATAATGTGTATAATTATGGTAAGGATCAATGAGGAAGGGGGGACGACCCAATCAAAGATTGGGGCTGATTTGGGGCCTTAATTAGGTTGTCAATTAAAACATATTATTAAAGGAAAGAGGAATTATTTCAAATGTTCAATCAATACTTAGATTTGATGATGGAAATATCCTTTCAAACATAACCCAAAACTTTAGGAAAGGAATTCAATGTTTAGGAGAATTCAAATTTGAATTCAGATATCCATAAATTAGGCTAGGCTAATTTAGTAAGAAGAATCAATAAGGTTTCTTCACTTAAATTTCAGATTTATTGATGGGGATAGCTTTCCAAAAATAATCCAACAATTTAGGAAAGGAATTCAAGGTTTTAGGAGAACTCAAATTTCCTAAAATTAATGCTAGCTTAATGTAGGAAATGTCGGAGGATTCATTTGGAGAAAGAAAAGTGGAGAGGAGGGTATGAAAGTTTCGGCCATGGAAAGAGGGGGTGGTAGTTAGGAGGGGCCGGTTGGAGCTTTCAGAGGAGATGGTGGCATGGCGAGCTTGATGGTGGATGGAGGTGGAGATAAACCGTGAGCTCGGATGCTTTCTGCGGCTAACGGGTCTTGCGTTGTCCTTGCCCTCACCTAGGGACTTCACATAAACTCTCACATACTCTCAAAGCTCTCAAAACACACCAAGACACAGTGTAGAAATTTCATTCATAATGCTCATCATCCCTCCCAAGATGGAGGTGAGGCCTATAAATAGACAAAATACAATAAAACATCAAATGACAAAAGTGTCTCCGGGGTCACATAAGTCTACTCCCTCAACTGAGGGTAAAAACAGAAAATTACACATAATAAATCAAATACAAATAAATGCTCAGAAATAGAGTAATCCGGTCATAGCCGTAGATCTCCGGCCCTTCCTTTGATAAACTTTTCACGGCCGGATGTCCTCATTAGAATTTGTGTGAATTGTGCTAGTTTCAGGAGTATAAAATCTTGTTGTCTAACATTAATTTGTTTCTTCGTCATAAATTCTTTTTTGATATGTACCGAACTTTCCATTGTATGTTTTCTGCTGTTACTACATTTTTTAGAGAAATATATTTACAGGAGAAGGAGATAAGCTTAAGTGGTGAGCACGTGCGAGAAGGGTTATCATGCATCATCTCTGTGAAAGTTCCAAGCCCAGAATTTGAAGGACAGACAAAGGTGATTTTTCAAACTCATTCATTTATCTGTTGTATATTAGGTCACTTTTAATTGTATCACTCTATCAATGCTTTCGATTAGGCACAATGAGCTACTTTCTTGATGTGGTTTTTATTGTTATTTTGGCAGACAAGGTTGGGAAATCCAGAGGTGAGAAAAGTTGTTGAGCAATGCGTTCAGGAATATCTCACTGAGTATCTGGAGTTGCATCCAGATGCACTGGATTCCATTCTTTCAAAATCTCTCAATGCTCTGAAGGTCATACTCTTTTCTGATTTATTATTGGTTCATAATTTGTTAATTCAATCATATCAATGCAGACTAATCTTTTATTTGCTGAAGAAAAAAAATGTCTTTATCAAGGATGATTTTCAGATTTTTTTTGGCATCATCAATAGGTGCTCTGGGGCATGGCTATTAGCTGAACTTATTCAATGTGTAATGCTTAAATTTTTTTATTACATATGTAGGCTGCTATGGCAGCCAAGCGAGCAAGAGAGTTGGTGAGAACAAAAAGCATTTTGAAGTCGTCTTCTCTTCCAGGGAAGCTAGCAGATTGTTCCTCCACAAATCCCGAGGAATCTGGTAAGTACATCTGTTAGCATATTTTCTTATATACTAGCACGAGGTTTGCCTCCTTCCTTTTGTTTGCTATTCCTCGGTTTGGTCTTCCACTCATCTGTTTTATTAATCATGTTTCCAGAGATCTTCATAGTTGAAGGTGATTCAGCTGGTGGAAGTGCAAAGCAAGGTCGGGATAGGAGATTTCAGGTGAAGTTCTCTCTTTTTTTTTTTAACATTTTTAGCAGAAATTTGCAGATAGATTTGAATAAATTTTAATCGTCGTGATCTCTTTGAATATGTTTGTACAATGATTTGAACTGTGAATGATAATTTCATCTACTCTTTTGCGTTTCTTACTCTTGAATAATAGAATGAGAAAAAGGAGAGTAGAAAATTGAAGCTTATATATTTAATTTTATCTATGGAAATTTTATAGACCTAGGGTGAATGTCTAAGGGGATGCATCTAAGTTGCTCTTAGCTAACAAAAAGTTTTATATCTTATTATGTGAACTCTAATTTTTTACTTGAGGGTTTTTAGTCATTGGGGAACTTATAAACTCTAATTGTGTTCGTAATGTAATTATGTCATTTTACTTAGAAACCACCCTATTAGTGGCTACCAGTGATAATCATTTTATTGTGGTGCTATTTGGCCGTGAAATTATCATTTTGAGGAACATGTGACACATTTTTACCGGTAAAAGATAGTTTGATAATGAATTGTAATTATATGCTCGACAAAATATTAGTTATTTATGATATAAGGTTATTCTTAAATTTGTCGCCTTTAATAAATCTTTGTGTGTTGACCGTAGACTTCAAACCACCCAGAGAACCTCCAGCCCGACCCCACATATGATACACAATCGCCAAACAATGCATTCGATCGTTCCTCAGAATTGCAAGTAAAGCAACTGCAGGGGATATATACATTCGAACTCTCAGCTGCTCTCCATCTCTCTCTCATCTTTCCGTTCTACAAGCAGAAGCTAAAGCCCCAACCGCTCCCTCTCGTTCTCTCGAAGTCGCACACAAGAAGCCCCGCTCTCATCTTCTATCTTAAATCTAAAGCCCATTCGCGCCAGCAACCGGCCTCTGCTCCTACACGTGAAAAACCGCTCACCTCCACTAGTCGTGCCTTGCACCCGACTCGTGACCAGGCGCATACGCCTCACTCAAGCATCCTGCCTGCTTCAGCACGTCCCACTCCATAGCTTCACTTCTAGCCCAAGTCTTCCGATCCAACCAATCCCTGTGCTCAATCGCGAACGGCGCCGAATCAGCGTAACCTCGGCAGGATTCGTGGACCCGATGGTTTTGAGGTATGTACGCTAGATTTGGCTTTGAGCTTTCTTCCCTCTTTTTTATCTCTTGGGTATGATATGAAGGTTAACATCACAATCTAACATTACAAATAGGCCATGAATCAAAACCCTTGCTCTTAGCTCTACCCTGAGAATCTTCAAATTTGAGGGTTAAAGTTGGAAACTAAATTGTCAGGTTTTCCTTACTATGAATCAAATGCATGTATTCACATTTAATTCCTAAATTTAAGGGTCCGAGAATGTTGCATGAGACAAATATTCCAAGTTTCATCCTCCTTAAAAGGACTATAGTCGACATGACTTGGATTAACAAACGAATGCCTAATCATAAATCGATTATAAAAATCCCCAATGATGTTTGTGTTAATAGTAAATATGAATCAGAGGGACCCTATCTTTCATATATACTAATGAACCCTAATAGAAATATAAATATTTGAAATAACATTAACGACACCCCGTTGATGGCCGCGTTGATAGAAAATATCAACCGAGGGGTCAAATCTCAAAACCCAGTAAAAGTTTAAATTCTTTAAATGAAATCTATAATCTACAAATTTAAAACTAAAACTCATCCGCCTCCCACAATCGTTTGTCGGACCTGATAAATTTGGAATTAACCTCAGCTCACAAAGAGTGAATGTCGTGTCGGTTGTATCATTAAGATTCACTCTCAAGTAATCTCTCGTTAATAGGGACACAGCACGTGCCCTTTGATTTGGTGGTTTTGCTGTAAAATAACACCACTATATTACAATCACGGCCAAAGCCCATATATTCCCTAACGGTTTCAAGTCTTTAAGTAATGAATCATAGGATTTACTCGATAGGCATAAAGCCCTTTTTTTAGTTCATGTAAACTCATTTGTATCTCCTCAGACAAACATCCTCCCCAGGTCTACAAGGTATTCTTGGACAAAGCAACCCATGGATGCTGATAAGGTGCCTTCTGTCAGGTTGGGTTGACTACCTTCTCTGACTTAGTACACCAAGAACCCTGACAACCTGGGATGACGGAATCATGGGATCTTGATCATGCTCATCTTCGTTCCCACGTCACCTGTTTTAAGCTTATGCTAATAAATTTCAAATCATAAAATCAAATTCAAATCATAAAGTTGTTGCTACTTTGCACTGGGTACTCAGTGTCTTTCTCACTACTAGCCTTGATTAAAAGTTCTCTCTCGTTATCAAGATGGGTAATTAACCATAGGGGCTTGCGCCTATGGGAAACAAGAACTTAGATCATAAAAAACGAGAACATAGATCATAAAATTCTCATAAAATGAGGGAGAAATATTGGGTAGTGCCTTATGTAATATCCAATCCGTCTTCTGAAAATTTTTCTAGAACCTAAATCCCCTAAAATTGTCCCCATCAAACAAAAGACAATGCAGAGAGGCTGTGGCGCGAATTTTCTGAGCCCTCATTGTGGAGGGTGGATTGCTATTGCTTTTTGACAAACAGTTATAGAAGTTAGATTTCAGTTTTTTTTTTTTTTGGATAAATATTAGATTTTTTAATTTTACTAGAATTTAATCCCCAAATAATTAGCTTTGGGATTTGGAAGCATCTTGAAAGATGCAGTCCCTTCTAGTTGAGAATTTCAATTAATATGGTTCTCATCAGGATTCAAGTCTTGCCAACAACAGTTTTTGCAAGTATAATGACCGAGCTTGAAAAGTGCGACTTACAAACTTGCCTAATAAGCATGGTAGATTGCTCGAGAAAACACCACGTAAAATGACAGCTTCAATATGTATTTAAAAGAAAGAGAGTTTGTGAACTTTAAAAAAAAGTTGCTTGATTTTCCTTTAAAAAAGCATTAAATGATTATCAGAGTAGAATGAAATTGAATTCATTTTTGTTTTACCTAGTGTAGCATTTTTAGACCTCAAATTTAGAAATTTGAAGTATCTGATCGGGGCACAAGCATGTAAGTTTGATTTCGATGATTTGATGTCATTTTTTTTCTATTTTGGTGCATTCATGCATTTTACTTGCACGTTTTCATTGGAGGTCAGCTTTAGAGTCTAAAGGCTTTCGTTTGAATAGATCTAAAACTGAATATATATAATGTAACTTTAGTAATAATAGTTCTAGTGGGGGGATTGTGACTTGGGTGATCAAATCATTAATAAGAGTACTCGTTTTAGATATCTTGGGTCTATTGTTCAAAGTGATGGTGAAATAGATGCGGATATTATTAGTGGAATTCAAGTTTGATGATTGAAGTGGAGGAATGTATCGGGTTTGTTGTGTGATCAAAAAGTCCCCTTCAAACTTAAGAGAAAATTATATGAGATGATGGCAATGTTTTATGGTGCAGAATATTGGTCATTAAAAGAGAAGCATAATATTAACTATTAAGTTAAGTGTTGCAGAGATGAGGATGCTAAGGTGGATGAGTGGCTTTACTCTTAGAGACATTATATGAAATGAGCATATACGTTAAAAGGTTGGAGTAGCTCCAGTGGAAGATTAGATTAGAGAGAGTCGCTTTAAATGGTTTGGTCACATAAAACGATGACCTTTCGATGACCCGGTTAGGAAAGTAGATGTATTATATTTGACTTATATTAAGAAGGGTAGAGGTAGACCTATCACCTAAAAAGAGTTGGTTATAGAATATTAGAAATGACATTTCTATTTTAGATTTAAACGATAATTTAACTTTTAACAAGGCACAATGGAGAAAAAAGATTCATGTTGCCGACCCCACACAGGGGGATAAAGGTTTGATGTTGTTGTTGTTTTCATTTTACTTACACACTTATATTTTGGTACACATTGTTTTTTCACTCCTATATACTCGCATGCTATTTAATTACTTGCATGCTTTTTGATGCATATGTAAGATGAACTTATACGCTTTTCAGTGCATTTTCCCAGTGCATTCATACTTTTCAATGTCTTTAGTTGATGCATTTTTATGCTTTTCAAAATCATCCTCACTTATCGAGGAAATTACATACTTTTGAGGTTGTTGCACGCTTATCAAGATAGTTGTACACTTTTCAAGGCTACAATATGCTTCTCATTACTTTGACATGCTTTTCAAGATAACAGCATGCTTCTCAAGATAATTGCATGCTTCCTGATGATGTTGTACTTAGATTTGAAAATTATGCTATGATGTGTGTATGATTTAAAAACATCTTGATTTTGATTATTTGCACGAGTGTTTTTTGTATTGCGCACAAGGTTTTATTTTAAAATTTTAAGTTTGTTTTTTGTCTTCTATTCGTTTGCGTGTATGTTGTGGATCCGGTGACATCAAAAATGAGTTGGAATCTTTGGAGTACATTATAAGGTGATATTTTTGTCATGTTGTGTTTGTAAATTTTTGTGTGCATTCATTGTTCAACTTTTGTTATGTTTGCAGCTTACAATTTTGCATCTCATTTTATAATTTTTACAATATATATTTTGTTCATTTCTGTCTAAAAAAATCTTTTTTATTTTGTTCTATTTTGGGTCTCATGTCAATGTAAATTGCGCCAGCCTCTTGGTCTCTTATTTGTATTGTAGGACGTCTTTGTAAGTGCTAGGTCTTCTCGCCACACTATATATATATATATATATATTTATATTGTTTTTGTTACTGTTCATGTAATCATAAAGGTGAAAGTCGAGACAAAAATTCACATTGTATGGTGTTACCAACATGTTTTGTTACGGTAGTTTCCAGAATAGTGCTGTGCTTGCTTGCTTGGTCGTTTGGACCAACATATTTTATATATAATGCGATAATTTGGTACATATACATAATTGCATTTTTTTGTTATTTACCAAAAATATTTGACTTCAGCTAATAAAACGTTTGTTATAGGCTATTTTACCCTTGAGGGGTAAGATATTGAATATTGAAAGGAAGGATGAAGCAGCCATGTACAAGAATGAAGAAATTCAAAATCTCATACTTGGACTTGGACTTGGGGTGAAGGTTGCATTCTTTAGCAAGGAAGATTGCTCTTGCTCTCTTGCTTTTGCTGAAAGTTTTCCTATATCTATTTTCAGGGGGAGGATTTTAAAAAAGAATCTTTGAGATATCATAAGATCATCATTCTAACTGATGCTGATGTGGATGGTGCTCACATAAGAACCCTTCTGCTCACATTCTTCTTTAGGTATCAGGTACTGAATACCACAATTTTAATCTTGATGAAAACATATGTTAAATTTAATTTCTATGATATGGGTAATTGCTCCTTGGGTGATACAAATCTTTTGCTGCAGAAAGCATTATTTGATGAGGGTTGCATCTACGTCGGTGTTCCACCGCTCTACAAGGTCTGCCTTCTGGATTGTTCAATCTGTTATATTTTCTTAAATTTGCCACAAGTTTTAATTTAGTCAATGAATTCTAGGTTGAGCGTGGCAAGCAAGTACATTACTGCTATGATGATGCTGATCTAAAAAAAGTTCAGAGTTCTTTTCCTCCAAATGCTTCGTACCATATCCAGAGGTTTAAAGGTAAAAAATATACCATGTTCTTTGCATACTGTTGTAATCATTTCTATTTTCTACAGTCTAATGTGTTATGTCCCTAGAAATACACCATGATCTTTTCATACTATCTTATGCTTGATTCTACTTTCTACAGTTATGTATTATGCCCCCTATATAGTCTATATTGGAGGTAGAAAATTTAGGCTATCATGATTACTCAGTGGCTTATTTTGGACATCGTTATTAAAGTATCTTTTGGGAGCAAAACAAAGCGAAGTGCTAGACTTCTGCATTTCTTACATTCGATGTGATAGCCGCAGTAAAGTGCATGTGTTGCATTGCTTTGCGCTGCGCTTTATGCATTGGAGCAAAAAAGAATCCTTATGCTTTGCATTATGATCAATGCTTTTAAAGCACTAATTATGGGCAACTTTGATATAAGCCTTGGAGCACTGTCCCACTAAAGTGTGATTGTTATTGGTAAAATTATTATGAAAGAGATGAACAAACTATAACTTAGTAGGAATTGTTCCTTCTTCGAAATAGATTTCTAGTAAAAGGTCATAGATATTCTGATTGTAATCTATATGCATTGCTAATTAACTTGTAAGAATGACACAATTTGCAACGCACCACCTAAATCAACTTGATCCCTTATGCACTCCCCACACCATTCATTGGAGTGATGTACCCACCCACAAAATAGAAGTGCATACCAAATGCGAGTACATTTCATATCAATATCCTTGTTGGAGATCAAACATAAACAACTAATGCTTCGGATGCACAACTACATACTCATATATGATAATTTGATTTCACAATTATATGGTTAACGTATCAACAACCTCTCTTTCTTGCACCAAACATACAAATTCAATACGATGCAGTGTTAAGTCTTATTCAGTTCTTATTCTTTAGTCGTTAGTTTGCATTTTTATTAGTATTCAATGTATCATATGGTCTCTATTAACTTTCTTTAATTTAATTAGCTGACCCCACCATGGGATAAAAGTTTGATGTTGTTGTTGTAGTGGTGGTTTAACTGTCAATTTTTATTTATGATTAATATGTCTTTTTTTTTATGTTTATTTCGGCGTTGTTTTCCAAATTTTAATAAGACCTGTTACTATCAATGCTAAGAAGTACCTAGAGTTTTGTAACTTAGTTAAAGTTATAATAAAGTGAGTTTTCTTTGGCCTCCGCCTTTAGGGATTCATTCAACGATTTAGGATTTCTTCCTGCCTTCTTTCTTTCCGCCTTATTCTTCACTCCTTTTGAGGTATTCATCATTTCAATCTTCTCAATCGCCTTCTCTTTTTCTCCTTGACTCTTTCCCTAGGCCAGATTTTTCTCTTTTAGCAAATCAAAATATCATAACAAACCCTCCACACTCATGCTGTCCTATTCATCATAAATTTGGTTTAGGGCTATTACCTACTTTCTCATTATTCTTAAACTAGCTCCTTACAGCCAGTTCCTCCGACCTCTTTGTGCTGAAGAATAGGTTTGACACACTCTACTGATACAATCATTTTTATTATCCCTCTCCTTGTCAATGAACTTTTCTGTACATTATCATTGCTAACTTCGAGAGACTCAATGCCGATGGCCTTGATTATGACAAAGACACCATTTATGCCAATGCCTTGTTCTTGCTCTGTACCACCCTAAGAACCTTTACTTCCATCTAGATCTTGTCGTGCCTTATTACCAGCATGATGTGATCCCCTTGCCATCCTCTCCTTTAGATTCTTTTGCAATTACCGCACTGCCCTTCCAAAATCATGCATGCTCACCTTGTTTTTGTTTATATCCTACTTGTTCCCAATTTATCATGCACATATCAAACATTCTCTCCTTGCCTTCCTACTTTAACACTTAGCTGCCATACCCATCATCTTGTCAAGTTTGTCGAAGAATCACAACTTTCTCTCATAGTTTGTTGATGCTGCTCACTTGTTCGCATTCATGTGCGCACATTTTGCACATCATGTGCATTCTCTTTATCGCACCCTTTTTGTTTATTTGCTCTCTTACTTCATGCTTATCATGTAATCGTATTCTTCCGGTGCGGCATGTAAGACATGCATTTTTCTCTCACAAGCATTCATGTTTCTTGCTCGCTTGCATCCACATTGGTCGATTATTGTGACTTCTAAAAGAGACAAGAGGAAGGACAACTAGACTATTTATGTCTAAATAGGCTCATTAGATGGCCTGGTCTAAGAAACCTTGACAAGAGGGAAGGTCCTCACTGAACCTTATTCTCTCTTTGCTTTAGTTATCTTCCAATTCGCTTAAGTGACTGAGAAACTCTATAGTTTACAAGCAAAAATATGAAACAAATAAATGATTCAAGATTCTTCAAAATAGATTTGATTACCCCTTAGGTCAAATGAACCCTAAATTATCTTGTGTTAACTGATCTATACATTATTGTGCATGGCCAACTAGGGAAACTTTTAAGTAAAGCAGTTTGATTTGAACTTACAAATACCTGATCAATCAATATATTGTCATGTGATTAAAGTTAAAAACATTTTTACTGTTTGTTAAATAGGCTTAGGGGAGATGATGCCTGCACAACTATGGGAAACAACAATGAATCCTGAGGAAAGGGTTCTAAAGAAGTTAGTGGTGGATGATGCTGCTGAAGCCAGTGTGGTTTTTGCTTCTCTTATGGGCACTCGGGTTAGAAGCTTTGCGCACACCTACTTCAAAACCTTTTTTTTTTTTTTTTTACTTAATTTGTTACCTTCAGGTTGATGTTAGGAAGGAGTTGATTCAGAACTCTGCCAGGATGATCAATCCAGAGAGCCTTGATATTTAGCTGGTTTGGCTCTCATGCCCTTCAATCTTGATATCTGATACTGAAATTAGTGTCGAAATTGTGGCCGAAGATATGCAACTTGCCTTGTAGACCAATCAACACTAAAGCCTAGTGAGAATCCTTAACTAGCACTACAAAAATCTCCCGAAAGAAGCTACTGCTGGTTACTGTTCTGGAACTTATACTCCTGATCCAGAATTTTGGAAAAGTGTCCGAATAGATCCTACTTGCAGGAATGGTATGGCAGTGATAGTATGATTTTTTTTCAAACGCAACGGCTCTGAAATTATTCCGTTGTATGCAATTAGATCTCTTTTAAAAAATGTTGTTGAACACAGCTCATCTTGGCCTGTTGGTTGAGAACTTATGCTTCCAATTAAGAGGTTTTGGGTTTGAGTCTGTGTATGCGTTGTGTGTGAGAGTTTGCCTTAAATGGCCTAAATGTCCCAAAAAAAAAATTGTTGCTGAATGTTCTGTATGTTTAGGAAGTATTGTATTCTAGAGCGATAGATATGTCTATTTAGTGGGGTTCGTTTAGTAGATTTCAAATGGTGGTTGATGAATTAATTTTAAGCTCGAATTATGAACTGGTTTTGTTTGTTTATGACTGATGATTTGAGTTCAAGCCTAAGTTTTATTGATCTATAGTTCTAGCTATGAAGTTTTTTGCTAAGATAATAATATTATGAATAGGTCATTTTTACGATAAATCATTATGTGTGGAGGGCAGACAACTCAACATCAAGGGAGTGATGTGGTGTATCTTATTTGGTCTTAGGATGACAGAATAATTTTTTCATTTTTACATGATATGAGCAATGCAGAATTTGCTTGTCAAATTTATCTTTATTTGGAAATTTTTTTATTATTTTATAAAATATTTTTTTATTATAAAAAAATCATTTTATATAAAAAATTATTTTAGAAAGCAGAATTTGTGTATAATTTCACATCTGTTAGTTAACGTTGAAAAGAATTAAATGAGTGGTGGAGCTTGCCTCATCAAGCATATTATAGAAAAAAGTATAGTTAGAATATACTCGTATATAATTATGTTGAATTTTTCTATAAATAATTGAATTTATTTAAAAATTGGCGTTGATTATAAAAAAATGTCTTATATTTATCATGAAATTAATTCAATAATTTTTTAAATTTATTTGACATAAATTATATAAGAATATTTCAACCTAATTTTTATACATATATTATATATTCTAAAGAAATTAACAGAAAAGTGTGCCAATTCTAACGTATGATATGATCTTATAAGATCTTAATTTCTTCACTAAATTATAATTAATTTAATTTGGTGGTTCAATATTTGGTCTCATACTCCATAATCTTCTAATACATTGTTTTCTTTTATATACATCTTTGTTATAGTGTTTCCTATCTTAGTTATGTATGATGGTTTCTAATTAAGAGAATTTTCAAATAGTTTGAGACAATTAATCATAATTTTGTTCATATGAGAAATCATAATCTTAAGCATAGGTCTATAATTAATCATAAGAATTAATTATGACCAATCAGTCACGAACATTAAGATTTTGTCTAAAGCATTTTGATATATCATAAATTCTTTTGTTGCCTAGTAATAAAAAATAAGGCAATCCATGCCATCATTAACATAAGAAATAGTAAATTACAAACATTAAGGTTTTATTTGGGACGATTTTTTTACTGTTTCTTAAAGCAGCTTCTTAGTACAAAAATTTAATTTTATAATGAAAACCTGCTTTAAGAAGCAGTAAGAAAGCCTTCCCAAACGAAGCCTAAGATTGTGATGAATTGTCCTAAAGCAATTATTATAAGGTGCCGCTCGATCAGACTCACAAATTGGACACAATTTTACAATACCCAGCTAATATATTTTGTTTTCTTAAACTAAACAACATATGGTCCAATTAATTTTTTAACTTTGTTTTGTTTCAATAAAAGTTTTGTTGCCAATCATTGTCCATCTTCCATAATTGTCAAATACATTGAGTGATTCATCTAACCTTAGAAACATTCAAGGAGATGAGGATTTCCAGGAAATGCTGAACTTCCCATGCTGCAAAAGGAGAAGATCAGGACTGAATTAGATAAGGCGTAAAGTTAAAAAAAAGCTTGAAGGTCCTCTTACCGTAGCAATTGGCATCCTCGTTCTTATGGCGTCTATTTGCGAGAGATTGAGGTCAGCTATGGCAATCCCAGTTGATAAACGATCTGCGAGGGAATTGTGAGAACTTGGAAGGAGATTAGAAGGTTCTCAAATGCAAAAAGCCACCCAGAAAGTTCAGAATTTTGTAACATGAACAACGACGCATATATTTCCATCCAAATCACATGTTGCGTATGGACTTATAATAAGAATGTTCAAACAACGAATACTTAACGACAATATCTATTTTGCTGGAACATATAATCATGACATAATTATATTGCTGATGTACACAATTTTACGGTTACGTTCACAGATACTATTTACGTGACTTGAATCAGGGCCTCCACAGCACGAGAAATTATTCTGAGTGGAGAACAAATCGTTCAGAGACCAATCAGAATGTGCCATGTCAGCAGTAACAAGCACAGAGGTGATGCAACGCATTCTGGTTGGTCTCTGGACGACGTTCGGCATCCGCATAGAATAATTAATCCCACAGCACACTTGAGACAGTTTGCTCTGTACTTCAAGCCCACACACTCCAATAATCGTCCATTGCCGCTTTGATGGAGGTCGATTAAATATAGAGCAAAACAACTAAAATTTACAACTAACGAGATGTATGGAAATACAATTCATTAAACTTATTTTGTTGGCATACTATACATCTGTACTGCAAATGAAATTTATAAGGCAATGCATGAGATGTATAGCAACATTAGGAGCTAAAAGTTTCATTCAGGTCATCTTGTGTTTGTCAAATAAAAGGCCTGAAATCAGCAAGTGAATAATGAATGCTAGTTAATGAAGAAGAAATGGCTTTATAGTCCCTCAAGCACTAAACGGCGCGGCTAATTATATTTCTCAATTTTTTTATAGAAACTTGTTTTCCCACAACTTTCAACCGTAGTTCAATCAGTTCTATGGTTATGATTGTTTGTTCATTAAGTTCAAAAGTCTCAGCAATGCTTAATACTCTCACCTGACACTAATAATGTAAGATTGGCTATTGATATATATATTCTCTCAGCAATGCTTCTCATTAATGTCCAGGATAACAAATACCAGTTTTTCTCCATTATTCTCACGTCCTTGCGACTTCAAAAGAAATTCCATATTGTTTCATACTCGGATACTCTTCTTCATTGACTGTTATAAGAGGAGTAATATGGTAGAGCGGCAACAAGCATTTTAAGCCACTTCGGTCCATATTTTTCAGTAATTAGCTGGGGAATTTGATTTTATAAAAAAAGAATAATTCAATCGTTATCCTTCAATGTTTTTTCACTTAGAGAAGATAAAATATGGGACCAACATTGTTCTCAAGAAATATGCTAAAGATACAAACAAGATACCAAAGAAACTCCCAAAAATCAAAGTTGCACAAAGTGAGAAGGCCCCACTACAAAATTATTTGGGACGGCAGGTTAGGCACTAGTGGTATTTTTTAGCGAGTTCTTTGTACTAATTTATTGCGCTTTGCGGATACTCTTTTGGGATCTTTTTTCCCAAAAGGATATGAGAAAAACTAAATGAAAGAATGGACGAGAACAATGAACAAATTGACTCTATTCTAAACTGAAACTTGAGGGTTCAAATCACCAAAAACAACCTATCAGGGATTAATATTACACGCATCAACCTACTGGCAAGAGTTCCTGCACTGGATACACCACAACAACAACAACATTAAGTCGTTATCCCACTACGTGGAATGCACAGGACACACCATCAAAGAAAAATGATAAGACTCATAGAATGAGTCCCAACTTGTTATTAATTGATGAGAAATCAACTTATAACACAATATAGGAATAATTCAAAGCTAGATGTCTTGGTATATAATTCTTTTGAAGATGATATAACTTTAATCGGTAAGACACCTACTGAAGTCTGAAAAATTAGACAATGGAAGAAATGTTAAGAAGATAGAGACCTTAGAATGAACAGAACAAAGATTGTATATATGTTATATAATTTTAAGGGGCATGATAATAAAAATGATCCTTCAATATAACTAAAAGATTAAGATGATTTAACTATAATATATTTAAATATCTTGGATTTATACAACAACATCATCAAGTATTTTATCTCACTATATGAGGTTGACTATATGAATCATTTTTCTACATTGTGTCATATTAAAAGTTAAATTCTCATTTAAATCTAATAAAAAAATGTCATTTATAATACTTTCTAACCAAGTCTTTTTAGGTCCACCAATAAGCCGGATCTAATACATATACTCTCCTAACCAAGTTATTGAAGGGTCGACGTTTTATGTGACCAAACCATCTAAGGCGAATCTCTCTAATCTTATCTGCAACTGGAGCTACTCCAACCTTTTCACGTATATACTCATTTCGCATTTTATCTCTAAGTATAAAACCACTAATCCACCGAGCATCATCATCGAGCATCATCATCTCTACAACACTTAATTTTATACTTCTTTTTTAATGACCAATATTCTGCACCATAAAGAATTGCAAGTCTCACAACCATCTTATAAAATTTTTCCTTAAGTTTGGGGGTTACTTTTCCATCACACAACAGCCCAAAGCATGTTGGAGTAACTTGGATCTATAACATAGATGAATAGAATTATAAATGGGAATACAAATTCTAGAGGTTAAACTGGATGGCTAAAATGAATAAGTGCCTCAAACTTTTGTGTGTAAATAAGAAGATATCATGGATGCTTGAAGATAAATTTTGTAAAACCGCAAGTAGGCCCACAAAGTGGATGCATATAATTGTTGGTTTTATGAAATTCAGTGATGTCTACGTTAAATGAGATAGACTTGGGAATAAAAACTTAGATGTGTGGCAATACAAAGAATGATTATACTAGAAAATTAGAGTAGCATCAGTTGAAAATAAGGTTAATGAAAATAAATTGAAAATGATTAGGACAAGTGCAATAAATGGTACAAAATATACTCATTAGATCAAATAATAAAATTAGTGTCAAAGGATTATGAAATGAGATAGGCCTAACATTATATGATGATTGTTCAAAAATATTTGCCAAGAATAGGCTTAATATTTCAAATCACTCAATAAGAATGAACGAAAAATGAGGATTCATGATGCTATAACCAGATAGTAGGATAAATATAAGGATAACAATATGATCCCAAATTATAATTATATTGGATCGAGTAAAATAGAGGAATTCTATTTATCAAACCACATCAATTCACCCAATACCATGTTGCTAAGAGTAATTCCAATAACTTTACAAGAAAAAGGATTTAAATGTTTAAGCTCTTAAAGATGTCATGCATGAATTCCTAAGCTACCTCCATAATTAATCCACAATTCATAATTAATAATAGACTCCACTGAACAAAGCATTCACCTGGAAGGCGAGCAATAACAGTTCCCCATGGGTCAATGATAAGAGATCCGCCGTAGCTTTCTCTCTTCTCATTATGTTTTCCAGCTTGAGCTGCAGCAATAACCTTTTAAAGGTCGAAAGAAATAATGATTAGCACAGTCAACAAGTTATTCTACACAACATTCAGCAAACTATTTAAGATAGAGTAGGAGAATTAAGATTATTACCAGATTATAGAAAATTAAAATCAATATATATCTTCATCATCATAATATTAAAGCTACGTCAAAGAATCATAAAAAATGATCATTGCCCCTACAATTACTGATTATTCGTGAATTTTTTTTTAAAACAGTTTCTTTCCTTTAAATCCCTTTTTACTTGTCTTTATATGATAAAAAAGAATTCTCGTGATCAAAATTCAATTTGAAATCCATTGATTCGCAGCATGATACCAATCTAGGAAAACTTTTCAGAAAGACTTTAAAAAATGAACTCCACTCCAACGAAATTAGGGGAAAGAAACTGCGAAAGAATTGCCACACAGTTGGTTACATCATCATAACATCTGTAAGCAAGCAGTTGACAAATGGTGAAGGAAAAAAGACAACTTAAAATGCACCATCAAATAAAGAATTTTGGAAAAGGTGCCCGGAAAATCTGTGTTCCATCAAAGAAAAGCTTAGTATGTTCCACATTGCTATGAATTATTGGGATAAAACTGTGATTAAAATGATGATGGTTGTTATGATAGTCCAAAAAGCAACAAGGGGAAAGCCCTCCACCAATAAAAAAGCTAGATATGCATAAAAAATAATTGCGGCTAGAAATCTAAGCCAACCAATCCCCCAGAAATATTTCACATCATTTGGCCGTAATATTTGTAATCTAGGGATGCTTTATGACAAATGGGATTCACAATCTATGGTGGGATCGCAATGTGTCAGTCAGTGAGAGCCAAAAACAAAGATATACATTGTCCGCATCATGTCAGGCGGATAAAAAAGGAACCATTCATCAAAGTGAAGCTCACTAGATCAAATCCACTTGGCTGACCTGCTCAAAATTTATAAGTCAGTCTGATGCGGACATCGGCACGAAAATCTGGCGCATCTATCACAGGAGGCGTCGTAAATCGATGGCTCTGATTTAAGTTGTCATTTATGAATTATTTTCTGCATTTTAGTTTCTATTTTATGTTATTTCCTGTTTTACCCCTAGGTTAATTTATTTGAGTGTTGTAGCCCAAGGGGCAATTTTGTAATTTTTTATTTTCTCATGTTGTGACCTATATATATGGCCTTTAGCTATTGTAATAGGATGGTTGATTAATATGAAAAGTTTTTGTTTTTCAAACTTGTGTTCTTCTTGTGAGAGAGCGTTAGTGGGATTCCTATGAGAGGAATCAAAGTTGTCACCAGCCGCAAGATGGGTCCGGGCTCGTGATTTGAGATCCCTTGGAGAGGGAAATCGTATCACCCACCAACCTTGGAGACGGCCGGGTTCGTGGTTTTATTCTTTTCGTTATCTCTTCATCTTCTCCTTGTCGACATCCCCATCCTCCACCCAAGCCACCGGCCACCTCTTCACCATCCCGCCGGCCACCTTTTCACAACCCGTCGGCCACCTCACCCCCTCATTCTCCCTTGGCCATGCCTCTTTCCAATTTGGGTTGGCAAAATCAAGAGGGAAAATTCATGACAATTTGGGATTTCAAATTTCAAATTTGAAATCTTTCCTATTTGGTGTTCCTCCCATCAATTCCCCAATTAAGGCATTAATGGCATCTTAATTTGAAATCAATCTTCAAATTAATTTCCCCCCATTTTCATTCAAATCCTGAAATTAATTTCAGGATTTGAATTAATCTCTCTCCCTAGACCCGCCGGCCCCCCTCTTTGGGCTCCCTCCTTTACTCCCACATTCATGGCATTAATTTCTTTGATTTGAATTTTAAAATTCAAATCAATTCCCTCCTAATTTAACCAAAACTGAAATTAAAATTCAGTTTTTGATTAAATTCCTAATCATAAGCCCAAATTTCCCCTTGCCTTGCTCTACTAATTAATTCCCTAGTCTATGGAGATTAATTACAGGAACAAAAAAAAAATCCTTTTAATTCCCTGTTTCATGCATGCCGCTGGCTCCTGCATAATGAATTGGAAATTAATTCCCCAAGGCATTCAATTACTTCCTAAATCAAATCATTGATTTAGGGAATTCAATTCCTTACCAATTCTCTCACCCGCCCCCTTTTCTATTAGGAAATAAGAGCCCATTCTCCCAGCTTACCGCCTCCCCTTCTCTGCATTAAATTTCAGATTTCATTTCCAAGGCCCATCTCAAATTTCTGGGCCCAAAACTCACCCCTTCAAGTGGGAAACAACCATCCAAATTCTGAAGTCAGAGAACAAAATCTGAAAATTCCAGATTTCCCGAAGGAAATTTCTTTCAGAATTTATGAGAAGACAATTGGAGTTTTCCTCCTGAACACCCTTTCTCCTCATCCCTGAAACCTGAATTTTCTCTCAGGTTTTGAATAAAAACCTGAAGAAAATTTTCAGTTTTTTGGGAGACATTTGGAGTTTGTCCATCATCCATAGCAAAGCTCCTTTTTCGTTCTACATCACAGTCACCTAGTAAAAGATCCACTCAACCAAGATCCACCCAATCAGTTTACTTGGGGGTCAAATAATCTTAGTCAAGATATCAGTAGAGCCCGTGAATGTAGTTCATTCAGTATTGACTACAAATCCGTTCAATAAAGTAATCACTAAGATAGTTAAATGCCATACAACCGTCCAACATCAAGATGTAATACGAGTCCATTTCTTAACTATTCATTAATTAAAAGAATGCCAAATCATTAAAGGACAACTAGTTGTCACCCAATGGCCTAATGCCTCCTTGAAGTGTTATAAAGGCCAAAACAAATGGAATTGTAGGGAAACTTGAAGCCAATATCTTTGGCCCACAACTTGTAATCATAATTTATCCATTTACCTCTACTCCAAACTTTATAACCTATGTACATTGTCATTAATAATAGTGAAACCTATTTCCACCTTACTAAAATTGGCGTTTAGTAAATAGACTAAAAACACAAGCTTTTGAGGCCTAGATCTCCCTTACATGATGTATGTTAGTGATGTCCTCTTCGATCTTAATAGTGTTAACTAAAAATCATCACCATTGGCAGTCTCTTAATAGTCTTTTCCTTCGCGAGGATCCATTCTTACAGAGACTTCTTGATGGGGAATGGCTGAGAAGGATTCAGACACTCAGTTGTATTTCTTAACATTTACATGATTGTTGGCTAGCTCCAACAATTCGACTAACATCCTCAGCTGCTACAAATCGAGTGCATATCTGAAAAGATCTTCCCTTAGTCCTTAAGTCAAGGTAGCTTGGGTGACTGTAGGCTCCAGGTCCTTCACGTCTAGCATCTCCTTCTGGAACCACATGATAAAGCTTCTTAGTGATTCACTAAGCTCTACCTTATCTTTAGGGGCTAGCGAATTAAGTGACAATCATTTGTTTGAAATTAGCAAATGAGGTGATTACTCCCAAAGGCACACGAGGGAAGCACCTAAGCGCCAACATATTAAATGAAGAAGAGAAAACATGAAAGGGCATCGTCTATGTCCAGCAACGAGGTCATAGACTCAAAGGACACCACATAATCTGTGTGATCAATCTTGCCTCTGTATCACTCCAAGTGTGGCACCTTGAACTTGGGAGGCGACCTGACCTTAGCGATTGCCCTGGAAAAAGCATTGGCTAGCTATGGTTCATTTCTTCTAGCTCATCTAGGCGACGGGCTATAGTCTTTATCATTCGTCCAGGTGCAAATGTAATCAGGGATTGGACTGGATGCGAGCGTTCTTTCCGAGCGTCTTCGATGAGGTACCGAGTCAGAGGATTCCTCAGGTGTGTTGTTAGCTCATGCTTGTCCTTGGAGGTTGTTCAAGGCATCATGAATCATCTTCATTAATCGCTCCTCCATCTCCTGCGGGTCGTGGCAGGTAATGAATGCAGCGTTCTCCATTCATCAGGCTGAGGTTGTCTTCTTGCCCTTAGCATCAATCCACGCTCAATGCACCTAAGAGAACGTTGAATCCGAATCTGTCTAGTAGATGATGCCCGACTTTACTAGCAAATTGGTCTGATGGGTTTAGAACTTGTTAGTGAAAATGAAGAGTAGAGATAATAAAGAGAGGAAGAGTACACCAGAAAAATCTCCACCATCTCAATTAAAAATAAAAAGAGAAGACCAGAGATCCAAAGTCTCCAACCAAATATGAGAAAGAGATAAAAAAGGGACCCAAATTATTCCTCATCACTGCTCATAAGATTTTGAGGGCTAAAGGAAAGTTTATAAAGAAAAATTAAAAAACAGGTTACACGGAATATTCATACAACACTGCATGCAAATCTGTAGGAGAGCAAAGTCGATGGTCGATCGGGCTTAGGGTGACTTTACGGGCGCAAGTCCATAAGGAGAAGAACCCGTAACTGGTGAATTATCTTGTTAGGTTGATGATTGCTGGTGGAGGCTCAAGATTGCCTTGTGATGAAAGACGAGAAGTATTTGTAAGGATGAAAAGCCTTTGTGTAATGACCCTAATTTTCATTTTCCTTAATTTCTAAAAATTTACATGTGCGAGCGCTGCGGCATTGGGGTGGACGGCGCTCCGACACTTAGCTCTCTAGAATTTTTGAAAATTAATTCAGCGTGACGGCACAGGGGTGGCACGGAGGCACGATGGCATCGTGGTGGCTTTGCAAAGCTAAGATATGGGCGCTGCGGCGCTAGGTCATCTTTTTAATATAAATATCCCAATCCATTTGCTCCCTCCCCATTCCTTGCATGCATGGCCAGATAAGAGAAGAGAGAGAAACCTACTCCATATCATTTTCACTCGTCGCTCAATTAGAAAAAGTGTTTTGATCCTGGTAGGTAACCTAAATCATATTTCTAATTTTATCTCTTCTAAAAGTGATTGAAATGCAAAATATCTTTCTAGTGATTTTCCGTAGTGTAGCTTTTGATATGTGATAGATATCTTTCTCATAAGCATATTGACTGGTTAATATTAAAATTTCACCAATTTATTTTGCCTATATATTATTTTAACTAAAATAGGTAATATAATATTAATCAATGTTTTAAAAGCCAGACCGGACAGGCCGGTCCAACCGGTTCAACCATGAACCGGTCTTATGGCCGGTCCGGTTCATGCTAAGAACCGCTTCTGCAACAAATCAGCCAGAACCGGACAAAACCGCTGGTTCAATCGGAAACCGTTGAACCGGTCACAGTTCTCTTGAACCGACCGATTCAACTTTTGCATTTTTTTTAATATTTAAATAACTTATTTTTAAATATTAAAAAATATTTGTAATTTAATTTCAAATTTGAAATGCTTAATTTTAATTATATACAAATATATAACATAAATTAAGAATTATTTATATTAAACTTATTAATTCATTTGTAAGTTATTTTTTTGTTAAATTTAAATTAAATTTAAAGATTGAATATGTTTAAATTTAAAATTATATAAGATATTAGTAATATGTGAATTCAATTTATTTTTTTAATAAAAAATTTATATTATTATATCATTCTTATGTCATCTAAATTTTATTTATTATGTCATCATGTTCGACCCCGATTCTACCGGTTGAACCGGTGGAACAGTAAACTGCTCCCTCTACCGGTTCGTTGTCTAGTCCGATTTTCACAACCTTGATATTAATTATAAAATGATTAGAAATTGATATATTGCATTTAGACATGAAATACATGACATGCATATGTTTGTTGTCATTTAGGTCAACATTCATTTTTGGCATATTACATGTATCCTGATGATTATAATGATAATTACATTGAGTGCATATACTATTTACTATTATACTTCATATGATATGACGTGTAAAAAAGGGATAGAAAAGCTGGCTGAAAATGATAGATTGATTCAAGTTGGCTGGGGATATGTTATCATGTACACGAGGGTAGGTCGACGGGTTTTTCTTTAAATTAAATTTGTGGTGTAATCCTAAATGATATGAAAAGGAAGGCATAAGGAGATTGATTGATATGATATGATACAATAATTAGCATGAAGTGATAACTTCTAATATGAAAATCGCATAACCTAATTGACTAAGTGATACGTGATATGATTGATTCCTGAAAACATGATTAATATAATTGAGACTGATTCCTATAGGGTTGGCATATAAACTCGATACAAGAAAACACCACAGGTATCCAGGAGTCATATCTTGCTTACAGTGAATTTATTGTTTGCATATGCATATAATAGTAGCATGCATGATAGATTGCATAAATAATATGATATGACATGATTTATATATGATGCATGATATGACTGATACAAATATATGATAAGATTGATACTAAAGCATATGACATGTACGAATCACTGATTATGCATCACATGATAATATATATATGATACATATGAATTATATAATATACATGACATACTGCACTGGTATTGGATATATTGCATTACAAATAGGACAAGATATACATGCAGATACATTGTATGACATGCATATGATAAGGAAAGGTGTATGAATTTTTTGAATTGATATATGAACTAAATTGTTTTGTAACCGATTGGCATAGGAAATGATAGAACCTATTGGTCCTTTACTTGATTACTGATCACTGCTCATAAGATATTCAACCACATTTTTGTTTTACAGATCATATGACTCGATACTATTCATATTGACTGCTACCTGCTTTGACGGTTATATGAAATGATGGTGATTACATGCATAATATTTTCATTACCTTACATTGCTCACAGTGGTAGGTTCTAGCAATCTACTGAGCTGTTAGCTTATTCCATAGTTTTACATATTTTTTCAGGAAGGGGCGGGACGTAGTGGAGCGAGCAGATCGAAAATTCAAGTTTTGCTTTATTTCTATATTTTATTTTATTTTTTTGTAATAAGTAATTTAGAAAGAAAGATAAAATGATGTATTGTATATGAGTTTTGAGGAATGAATATACGTTTATATTTTGATGTATATGATTTAGTTACTTCCATTGGACTAGTTTATAATAATTGATTGATAGAAGCTATAGTAGATTAAGTAAGAGAGAATAAATAATTCTTCCAAATTATGTCTTTAGGTGTGACACTCTGAGCCTGATGATAGTAACGAAGTGGAATGTGAGGTCTTTGGGGTAGAAGCTTTCTTGTGGCTAAGTCTGGTGAGCCAATGGGGATCTGATTGAGATGAGCGGCGATCTCTTTGCCCAGATGAGGAACTTCCTAGTCGCCCAATATAGCGTGGCGAGCGAGAGACGAATGTCACTCTCCTTGGGTGGGTTCCTCTAATAGTCTCGGGCGATTCCATTGAGGAATATATTCCTAAGAGGGACGACCATCATCTCAACCTGATCACAACATGTCAAAACACTTAAGCTGACGATCCTTGGTATAAATATTAAATACAAGAAAAATTAACTACTGAGAGAATTAATCATTATACATGATAGATCAACAGTAAGGCATGACTATTCTTAATTCTCTATCAATGACTAAAGGAAATGGACGATCCTTAAAGGACGGAATGGTTCATCTCACCTAATGGTCCACCTTTTCAATAGTCTCCTTAAGATTCTAGAAAAAGATGGAAAGAATTGGGGAGAATTTTCCCAACAATATCTTTGACAGACAACTTGTAACCAGATTTCCTCCATCTTGCTCTCATCCGAACTCCATAATAATGTTCGAACCAAGTTCTTCAAGAATAATGAACCCCCCTCTGTGCCATATTAGACGTAGGTCAATAAAATCGAACAACTGCAAATTCTAATGTTCGTGCTAAGAGATTTATCTCTTTGATCTCTATCACATTGATTCTCTCGCATTCAAAGTAAACCTCTTGGCAATCTTTTTAATATTTGATAATTATGAACTATTGCTTTTTCAATTTACACAAGCTTCAATGAGCTGCTTCATACAAAAAACTCATTATACAATCATTAATTATTAGAATAATAATTGTTTGTGATGAAAATTAGAAGCAACATATCCTCATCAACATAGGAAGTTCAAATGGTGAATGATATTGAAATTAGATCCTAAGATGATCATTGGCCACCATTTAATGCTTATTGCTTGTCCAAACTATTATAAATATTTCTTTGTTTTAAACAACATTGGCTTCTTTCTTTATATGATCAAATAAAATTTTCTCATTTAAAATCCAATCCTGATATCCATGTGAATTTACATACCATCAATCTAGAAAATCTTTTCTTTTTTTTTTGTGTGTGTGTGTGTGTGGGGGGGTGATGTTGGGGGGGGGGGGGGGGGGGTAAGATTGAAGCAATGACCTCTTTTGAAGTGATGGCGATGAAGCTAGGGGAAACAATGCACAAAACAGTAGATAACATAGCCATGTTAACTAAAAGCAAGCAACTTGCAAGTGATTAAGGCATAAAAACTAAACTAAAAGAGCAGCCAACAAAGAACGTATTTGAAAAAAAAAAAGAATCTGCTAATATATGTTCCTTGAAAATTTATTCCCCGCCATATGCCATATTGCTATGAACCCTTGGTGTAAAGCTGATGTTAATGATGATTTCTATGAATAGCAGAGCGAGTCCAAAAACAAGATTACGGGATCACTATGAAACCTTGGTATAAAGCTGATGTTGATAATTATTTCTATGACTAGTAGAGCTAGTCCAAAAAACAAGATTACGGATAAGTTCTCTGCCACAAGTTATGAGCTAGATGTACATACCTCTATGAGCAGCTAGAAATCTAGACTAATCAGCCCATCAAATATTTCCAATCACTTGACCATCATATAGAGGGTTCAATCAAAGGATGCTTTGGACAATTGGGATTAACAGGCACAAATGGATCTGCTTAATACAAAAACTTTTCCTCAGTAGGAGAAACATGGATGACATGCGGCATCAGAAATACAAGCAGAGCGCTATCTGAGCCGTAAACTTTGTTTTTTATGCTTGTATTTTGAAATCTGAATTTCTTGCATGAGAGGATCATTATACCGGATAAATTCAAATTAACGAACATGAATCCAAGTAGGAAACATAGAAATCATGGTGAAAAGGGGATTTCAAGATGCCTACAAAGCACTGCGTCTCAATTGCCCGGGCACGGAGAAGAATTTCCCAGTGAGCCTCACCAGTTACCTTTGTAAAAGCTGATGGCACCAACAAAACCTAAAAAAGATAGTTTAGTTAAAAAGGGTAGCAAAAAACCAGTAAAAATGGATTACTATGACAAAGGTATGGCTTTACATAATAGAAGAAACCTGTGCATTATGTTCAAAGCGAAGCATTTGGTAGAGCTCAGGAAATCTTAAATCATAGCAGACTGTGAGACCTAATCGTCCAGCAGGACTGTCTTCCACAACAATCGCATCACCTGAAAAAAAAAAAAAAAAAACAAATTTTGGAAACGAGCAAGCATTTTAAAATAAATGTACTGTGCCTAATCTTCAAAACCATCATAATCGGTAAATTTGAAATTCAAAACAGCTATCCTTCTAAAGTAGAACTAAATACGAAGCTAATGGGAAGGTACATAATTTTGAGCTGAAATGTACAATATATTGCACTACAAAAGCAACAGAGTGATCAAACTACCTGCCAAGTTTATGCGACCAATACCTAATAATCCCTTCTCCTACTCAAAGAAAACAGGACTAAAAGGATTACGATCGAATGATAAAGCACTGCTCTAGCAGCATCAAAATACCTTCCTTGAAATGATTTCCCATAATAGACCATTCTAAGATATATTACTCTTTTTTATAAAAATTTAACTGAATCAACTGGTTATACAGAAAAAAATGTTGGCACAATTATACAAGACTTGAAGAAAAGTTTGAGGAATCTCAGCAATGCTCCTATTGCCGAAGATATTTTGCATTTTGGCAACTTGATTGATTTATTAAATTGGACAAGATATGCATGGTTGACGGATTTTGCAGTACTTGATTAGGATATTGAAATAATTATATGAACATATTAATAGAACAAATGTGTTGCGACAAAGTTAGGATTAAAAATCAATTAGTTCCTTAAGAAATGAAATGAAATACAACATCAAGCCTTTAAACCACTACATGGTAAGAAATGAAACGAAATGAACATAGTAAATGAGGTCAAAGTTCATTGTATCTCTGTGGGAATCTATCATTATATGAGGGCGGCATTACCTGCCGTTGTAAAACTACTCTCCTTGTAAACCATATTGCCAGGAACATCTACATCAAATCTTCAAACAGTAGAAAAGAGTTATATTTCAGTTATTCTATGCAACATAAAAAAGAGCAAAATATAAGATTGATAAGAAAAGATTGAAAATAATAATAACAAAACAACAATCCTTTAACCCACTACATAGGATCGGCTATATGAATTATTTTCTTCATTGCGTCTTGAGTGAAATTGATGTAGAATGGGTAGGACGATTTTCTCGGCAGAGGATCTCCTCTCCAAAATCTGATATTTTTCCTTGCAAAAACTGAAATAAATCTGGATTTCTCTCAAATCTGAGAAGAAATCTCAGTTTTGGTGTTGAGGGAAGAAGAGCGTGAAGGAGTAGGAAATCAGGAAATCAATCCACTAGAGAACCAATGGTGGAAAGGGAATTTAAGAGAGGGAGCTGGATAGGGAGGGGAGGCGGGATGCTGAGGAGAGGGAAAAATAATAGCTTCCGGTTTTCTATTCAAAACCTGAGAGATATTTCATCAGGTAATAACTAGAGGAAGGGAGACCGATGGGAATTTAATTCTTAATTCCTGAAAAAGGCATTAGGGGATTTGAGATGATTTGGTTTTATTGCCTAAATGCCAGATTTTGGACTTAGGAAACAAATCCCAATGTGAATCCAATGGGCTGGCTAGTTGCATGAATCAAGGAGCTATTAACGTGGAGGATGGCACATACCAACTTTCATTCTACGAATCAAATGTATGTATAATATCACCCATGGGTAGATACAAAAAGGACTACAGTAAATGCAGGTATCTGTAGTCAATTTTCAGTCTAAGAATGGAATACTCTGCTTACAACAGTGGTGGATGCTACCGACAACCCCAAAAATCAATCACCGATTCAATGGCCAGCAAATAGACTGTCCAATTCGCTGCAAGAAGAGCAAATGATATGTTAGTAAATTCAATACCTACCAACAGTCATAGGAAAACCCGTCATATACGTATAGTCATCTACAAGAAACCCCACCTTTTTTCCCCCATGACAGATAATCTCAATATCTTCATGGCTTTTCATAATTCACCTTACGAGAAAGTATAAAGGATTGATTCAATTTGAAATCAAATTTTGAATTTCAATTCTTTCCAAATTTGGAAAGTCTTATTTAGAAAGTGTTATGCATGATTCAAATTTAAATTCAAAGTTTGGATTTAGTCATAACCTTCCTTATATATTTTTCTTCTTTGGAAACTCCCAAACATTGCCCAAATCCCCTCCCTCCTCCTTCATGCCGCCGGCCACCATGTGTTTTTCCTCCCATTAATTCCCCACTGAAAGCATTAATGGCCTCTTAATTTGAAATCAATTTTCAAATTAATCTTCCCCCCAATTTCAATCAAAACTGAAATTAAATTTCAGTTTTTTTTTTAAATTTCCTAAATTCAAATCAAAGGAGCTTTAAATCACATAAGTGGTAACGTCATTTAGGAAATAAATCAAGTCTCCTCACAGATTTTTTCTTCACTCTTAAGACTAAATTTCTGCTGGCCGAATTTTTTTTTTTCTTTGCCATATCCATTCAATTGATCTCCAACCTTTTAATTGCTTCCTTAGGCTGAGAGTGGAAAATGGAAATAAATTCCCTATTTCTCTCTTGTCC